AAACCATCTGTACATGTATGGTACAGATGCATTTTTTAAAATATTTTTGATCCCTGGTTGGTTGAATTCATGAACACAGAAGAACCTAAGGATACAGAGAACCAACTGTATTGTATACCCTGTAGGTGCAAACCCTGGGCAATTCATTTGGCATACCATCTTTTCCTCAGTCAATCTACTAAGCACCTGCTTAAAACTTGGAGCTCTAAGTATTATTTGGGCTACCCTAATGTCAGCCATATTTTCCAGCTGCTCACTGGACATCTGTATCATGCTATTCACAGGCACCTTGACTTATGTGCCCAACCTTAGCACATTAATGCGTTTCCATATACAGGCTCATGTATCCACATTATACCCCTAGTCTCTTTCTCACAATCTTTAAAATCTCAGTGACTCTCAACATTTTCTTTTCCCTTATCAAATTCTGCCAATCCCCACAACATCATCTTAAGAGTGATCCTCCCTGAATATCCATGCTCCTCCTATTTTTTCAACAATTACTTGAACTTCTAAAATGCTTCCCTAACTATTCTCCATCTACCAGTCTCTTATCCTCCCTCCAATCTGCCACTAGAGTTATCATCTTAAAAAGTAAAGTTAGGTTGGTTTTAAACAAATATTATAAACTTGGTATATATAATCAATCATAGAAAGAGCTTTTCTCTGTCTTCTATGTCTAAAATACCCTATGTAGGTTAGCAGAATATTGTACTATTTTGAATCTTTATACAAACTGGACTCCTCAGCACCTCAGCACCTTTACACTTATTCTTCCCTCTTCTTGGAATATTTTTTCCAGTAAGACATTGCCCATCTCTGCTCTTCATTCAATTTCCTCCTGAGAGTAGACACATTCTTTGTTCATCATACCTAAAATAGAGCCATCATCACTCTTTTCTTACTATCTTATCTTTCCTCATAGCATATATATATATATATATATATATATATATATATATATATGTGTGTGTGTGTGTGTGTGTGTGTGTGTGTATGTGTGTGTGTGTATACACACACATACATCTACATTCATTAACACATTTGGATATATATAGTACATATATATCATGTATATAAATGGACTATGTGCTGTTATACATTATATAAAATATACATACATATGTGAATACATGGGTCATACACATATCTGCATGTGCATGAGGACTAGAAATTTCTCTAGTATTGTATCCCAGTGTGTAACATATGTAGAAATTCAAAATTATTTGATAAATATTTTGATTAGATGGTGCAGTGCATATCTTCCAATGATACTGTTTTAAGAAAACCATTTTACTAAAAGTGGGATTAATACAAGAAGCTTGTTGTCCATCAAAATAGGTTGTACTGTATAAATACTATAAAACATAAAGTTGTGTCAAATATAACAAACATTAATTATCTGTATTTGGGGGTAGAAATTTAAGGGAATCTGAGGAGAATATTGTCATACTATGCTGAATGAGCAAAAGAAATTAGAAACGGGCATGTCTGGAAGGAAGCCTAAGACTTTCCATGCTAAGGCATTGCAGGTTTTAAAACTCATGGGAGTTAATAGTTTTTATAGGAATCCCAGTCCTCTATCCCCTCTAGGTTTACTTTTCCAGTGAAACTTCAAATCAAAATTAAGAATTATTTATTATACTTCAAGTGCAGTAATTACAAAATGTTTGATTTGAGATCCTACATTCAGGTGTCTTATGTAAAATATTCACTTGTTTGCTACAACATTTGTATTTGTCATCTTCCCTTGGTTCCCTAGATGAAGATTAAATTATGTAAATATTTTGACAAAGAAGGAAAATACCAAAGAAATTAAATTTTAGTTAAAAGAAAGTCAACAAAAGATTAGTTCACTATAAAATAACTCCATTTTAATTTATCATAGGAATGGGTTTTCTAAATCTGTAATGAATAACACAAAGATGTAAAATTTTTACACTAATTAAGGGAAATCTCGAAATAGAAGAGGAGATTCTGTATTTAACTCTAGCAAATTACTTAGAGGGGAAATAATCTGTGCTATGAAAACATGCTCAACTGTCTGAATGAGCAAAGGTCTCTATTAATACACAGCCTAACTAAAATCCCACAGGCTTAAAGTGCAACAATATTTATTTGCCATTCAACAATTTTTTTTTCTTTAGCATCTAATATGTCACAGGAACTGCCAAAGATATAATGAATGAACAAGGTAAATATGTGTCTTGATCTCACAAATGATAATTCTATAGGGATGGTCAAATTATACACACAATTTGACTACTTCTGGTGTATTATAAAGAAAAAAAAAAGAAATTAGAACAGCACAAATGAGGCTACAGTGTGGCTGTGGAAACAATGATCTTTGGTGTCATTTTCAAAAATTCCTGCTGAGCATGTTCGTTCCCACCTGTAATCCTAGCTTCTCAGGAGGCTGAGGCTGGAGGATTGCAAGTTCAAAGCTGGCTTCAGCAATTTAGCAAGGCCCTAAGCAACTTAGCTGTGTCAAAATTAAAAAAAAAAAAAAAAAAAAAAAAGTAAAAGAGTGGGGATTTGGTCCAGTGTCTAAGTAGTTCTGGGTTTAATCCTTGGTAGCAAAAATAAAATAAAATAAAAACCCAATGGGTGGGAATAACTACTCTTGCTTCAAGTAACCATCTTCCTTCTGGCCCATAATGACTCATCTCAGATGGTCTAACCATAGTATTTATCTGGAATCCCAATTCACACGCCACAATACAGATAACTTTATAGGAACAAGTTAAATTATTCTTTATTATCAGAGAGGTATGACATTTTATCAGCATATGTCATAATGTGAAATAGATTCAGATGATGAAAGCAAAATTGCTTAATGCTTAGAAATGACATTAATTAGAATAAATCAGATTATATATGTTTTTGTAAAGCATGGAAAGGTAGCTAATACTAGTAGAAACAGCATGAGCTTTGGATTCAAGCAGAACTATGTTTGAATATTAACTCTCCTACTTCTCATGGGATATTAGGCACATCATCATTACCATCACTACTACCCTTCCCATTCTAACTTTTTTTCTAATTTGCAAAGTGTGAATTTGTTATAGTAAATGTTTGGGAGAGGTAAATAGTAGTCATTCTACAAAAGGTAACTATATTTTCATCACTAAATAATCTATGGCTGTTATGAAGCTAATCTGAAACCTCTGTCTATTATCAGTAATTATCAAAATCAATGACTCTCAGAAGAAAAGTCTCTGGTAGTCAGGAAAAAATAGAAAACTGCACTTTATTTTGAATAAACATGCAAAATGAATGATAGTGACACCGGTTCAAGTTTACTCAGTTTAGATGCATAATGCATATTTGACTTTCAGTATAATTTAAATATCATACATGAATTTGTCTTGGCAATTCATAATTATATATACATAGCATACCTGTGCAGGTAAAAATAAGTGATTACTTTTTTACCTTTTCTTAAATCTTTTTTACCTTGCTAAAGATATGCTCTTTTCTCTGCTTCTTTAGAGTAATATACTATATTTTTCACTCAATATTTTGAGATCATGTAAGCAATCACTATACCAAAATGTTTTGTGAATAGAGCATTTAAAGGTGAATTTATAGTGGCTGGGGATATATTAAAAATTCAGTGTTTAAAACTAGATGTGTCCCATCTCTGATCTGAGATCACAGCTATTTCTACCTCTAGTAAAGAGTTATAGTCATTCTGGGTACTGCACTTTGAAGGAACAATACCTTTTCTTGCAATGGGTGGTAAGACCATTAATCAGCAGTTCTGGAAGAGTGAAGTAGCTAGACTCCTATTGTAAAGGAACCGAGATTTGCACACATACCTATTAATACATAGAGTTAGCCTTGAAGTTACAGACAAGCACTGTCTCCCACTAGTAGTCATTATAATAAGAACTGGAGAAATAGTCTCCTTTAAGAGTATGTGCTGAGCACCCATAAGTTGCAAGATACCCCACTGTGCTATGTAAGAATATAGTAGTGTGGATCAGGGTTTCCTGCCCTCACAGACGAAGAGAGAATAGAATAGGTACAAACACAGTATATAAAGGAAACAATGACATGAAGACACGTACACACAGCAGTGCTGAGAGGCTCCAGGGAAGAAGAGGGAAGAAGAGAGATGCGGGTTAATCAGGAGCCCCTCTCTAGGGAAGATTGCCCAGGCCCTGACTGATGCCTGACATTGATTAATCGATACTCTATCCTAGTGTTTAACAAGTGTTCCATCCAAAAAGTCTTCTGTAATATTTAACTTCACTTCCTTCAGCTTCAATTTATGTACATTTCTTTTGTTCTTTCTTCAAGAGAGCTAGACAGTAGTCACTAAGAAAACACTTTATATTCATATATCTAAAGGGATTTTTTTTTTTTCCTGTCATGCTTCAGTCTTCTCCGGACTAAGGAAAAACAAACAATAAAATAATTAATTTAATCATTCCTCAAAGGCCTATTTAATTTGACTGCTTGATAAATAATAAGCTTTGATACTGTGCTTTAAGTGTTTACTCTTTGGAAAGAAACTTAATTTCGACAGTGTTGTAGATAGAATTATTTGATTTACATCTCAAAAAAATCGTAGATCCAAATCCCAGCACAGAATCTAGTGAAATAAAAAGTTTGTAAAGTAAAATAAGCATCAGGGTGATTGAGATTATTGAAGCTAGCACCAGAATTTATATGCATATTATAAACTGTACCTCATATTATTGTCTAAATTTACTTTTTTGAAAAATAGAAAGTCTCTGTGTTTCTATATAATAATGTCATGGCATTATTACACAATTCAAGAAGATTTTAGATCAATTGTTTTACCATTAGTGTGTTCCACAGAGACCTCTATTTTTCTTTTCTCTGCACCAAAAGGTATGTTTTTTGAGCCCCTATGTACCATGCAGAAATTGATCTGCAATACATGTGGAGTCTCCAAGGGTATATTTAAATTTAGTAATTTTATTGCTAACTGTGAAGTTAATCTGCACTGTATGGGTTCTTTTCCCCAGGAAACTGAAGTAGCAGTTCAAGCTAAACAACCAGATGTGGAGAGGATTTTGTCTAAAGGGCAGCATTTGTACAAGGAAAAACCAGCCACTCAGCCAGTGAAGGTAATGAAGCAACCTTTAGCAATATCCATTACCTCATAATGGGTTATGCTTCCCCTGATGTACATTTGCCATTGATGTGGTCTATTTATAATCAATGAAATAACTTGTAAGGAAATATTGGCCATACTACCATAGCAGAAGCAAAGCTGTCTTTTTGTTCAACGAAGCCTATTTATATATTGTGATCTTAAGGCTATTAACAAGTCATTGCATTAAAGGATTCATTTCTGTCCTGGTGTGCTGCCATCAACACAAAAAGTAGTCCCACCTTCAAGGTAGATTAAATTCTTTGGGGCTTTATTGCTTTGCTTGCCAGCCTTGATGCTTTTCATATTGTTTGGCTTAATTCAAATCAAGCTACTGCATCATACTGTCTGTCTCCAACAGCTGTAAAGAATCACAATATGGTCTGTGACCTTTCCTTTCTCTGTTGCTCTTTCTTATGAAAAAGGAAAACCAGCATTCGGGCTTCAGTACTTTATTGGGTCAAGAATTTTTAGTGAAATGTCATGTAATTGCTTCTTTCTTTGCTAAAAAGCTGGTCTGGATGAAAGCTTTCTCCTTCTTTCCCTTCTCTTTGTGCATTTTGAAGTCTAGGGCACATTTATTCACAGGCTATTACATGAGGAGAAAAATGGAAAGACAGGTTCGTTTTCAAAAAAACAGCTAATCAATGTCTTCCATTTGCAAATGAGGGTCCAGTGATAAATAGACATTAGGTATAGGTTACCTTATTTGCTGCACCTGACCAAAATTATAATGGCTGCCATTATGATGAAGGTTCCTCAAGAGCCTGTAATGGTGGCTGTTTATTGATCAGTCTTGGTTTCTCAGCTAATGTTGCAGGCTGAGATTTAGTGAGCCTCACCCTTATGTTTAAAACTGCACTAAAACTAAAAACAGTACAGGTCAATAACCTCATTATACAGAACCAGTTTGTCCTTGCAAACAACATTACCATGACTTAGACTCTGTCTCTAAGGTCACCACTTAGTTTCCCTTGTGGTTGGCCCAAGTTTCATTTCTAGAAAATTGTTTGTTTTTCCTATAGCTTACAAGGGACTATTCTTTAGATAAATTTAAAGTTTGGGCCTATAAATAATATCCAAATACTAGATGCTAAAAGGCACGGGTTTCTCTGTAGATTTCAATGTACCTTTATTTGAGAATACATTTGTTTTCAGTCCTAAAATCCAGAAAAAAAAATGATTTAATTCCAATTCCAAGCTCATCATGATCATTTTTCATAAAAAGACAATGTGTTTTATATTGGAGAGCTAGAGACAGTACGGAAAGCAGCAAATTTCAGGGTTTTTTTTCAGTTTTTAGGTTTTTTTTTTTTTTTTTTTTTTTTTTTTTTTGTGTGTGTGTGTGTGTGGTGCTGGGTATTAAATCCCAGGGCTTTGTGCAAGCTAGCAAAGTATTCTACCACTGAGCTGTATATCTAACCCCCAGGATTTTTATTTATACTTTAAGGAAAGCCAATCCCTAGAGCAGTTACCAGACTGATTCTCACTATAGCCAGTCATAACATGGACAAATGAACTGTTGCGTAGATTCATTCTATCTACTCTTGGTTAATCTTCAAAAACTTAATGCCATATAGTTATGACAATGAGCCAGAATTTAGCACCAATTATTACAGATTACTAATTTGCATTTAATTCACTTTGCTTTGTAACTGAGAGTCTAGACAATTTTTGCTCTAATTATTATAGATAAAACAATCCAAGCAGTTGATGTTAACTTAATCACACACAATCCCCTCCCCCAACTCCTGATGCACTTTGACCTCAGAACTAAGATATGGCATACCTGAGCTTATCTACTTTTTACTGTTGCATTAGTGATATAAAAGGAGAATTACCTTTCTAAAAAAGAAAGAACAAGGAAGTATAACTTCCTTTTTCTTTCACATCCCTTAAAACCATTTTGTAACAGTCAGTTTTCTTTCCCTGTTTTCTCTTTTCCTGCTTCCCTGTTTCATTTAGACTCAGCTCATTTGGGAGAAATAGGACTTAAGTGAAAACTCATTCCTGTTGTCTCACTTTTCTCTTGAGTTTGGAGAGAAATCAACATATCAAGGTGATAGGGGCAAAAAGAGAAAACTGATTTGGAGATATGGAGTTTGGAGAAATAGTTTACTAACAACAACATCATCATTATCATCATCATCATCATCATCATCATCATCATCATCATCATCGTTATTTTGTAGTGCTGGGTACAGAATCCAGGGCCTCTTGCATGCTAGACAAGTGCTGTACCACTGAGCTACACCCTCATCCCCACAACTTTTGATATGGACCATGATCTTAGAAACACCTTAATATTAGCTGGGGTTTGTGCTAGCCTGAAATGCTAAAGGCTCAAAAAAAAAAAAAATACCAAACAAACAAACAAACAAAAAAAAACCTCACAGTTCAGAGTGGCACAGCATAAGGCTGAAAGCTGTGAAGGCTGTTTAAATCTTCACATGGATCAAAACTTTCTCTTTTAAAGGTTACAGATAATTTTTCTGAAGCTTGAACCCTTGCTCTGATGGTATATGAACAAAGCCTTTTTTAACGTTGAATTCATATATCAAAATTGTTTAAATATGCTATTTCTTTCTTTTTTATTTGGTACTGGTGATTGAACGCAGGGGCTCTCAACCACTCACTGAGCCACATCCCCAGCCCTATTTTGTATTTTATTTAGAAACAGGGTCTCACTGAATTGCTGAGCACATTGCCATTACTGAGGCTGGCTTTGAACTCATGATACTCCTGTCTCAGTCTCCCAAGCTGCTGAGATTACAGGTGTGTGCACTGCTAAAATATGCTATTTCTTTTTTATTTTTTATTGATTTTTTTTTTAAAAATAAATGACAGCAGAGTAGAGGGGTAGGAGGGAAAGGGAAGTGGCAGGGGGTTAGCAAGGAGAGTAGAATGTGATAGACATCATCATCCAAAGTGCATGTATGAAGACACGAATTGGTGGCAACATACTTTATATAAAATATGCTATTTCTAATGCCTCTTCTCTTTAATGCTGATCTGCCTCATCCTTCAATATAAGGGAAATGGGTCTGAGAAGCTTGCTGTACATTTTGGGGGAAGGTACATTTAGAAACTATGACAATTATGAGCAAGAAAGTGATATTCTTAAAAAAAAGAAAATGAAAATCCCTCCTGATGTGCATTCAAGACCCAGTATTTAAATGGATAATTAGTATGTCCACTGCTTGCTGACTTTCTAATTAAGGACACATCAGAGAATGCTTCTCTTTCATAGGAAATTGACTACCTATTGGCACCTCCACATTCAGTATCAAACAGCCTGTCTGTTTAGCTGCTAAATTCTGCTAAGCTGAATCTGATTGAGAGAGCGGGTCACCCCTATTCAGTTTCTTTCCTTTTTTCCTCTTTGCTTTGTCAATTTCTGTAGGATTTTCTTAACTTTAAAAGATGGTCAATTTTTGGTTTCTTTTTTTTCATGCCTGACTAACCAATTTCTTCCTTATTGTCCTTGAGGATGTCCTATAAGAGTCAAAAATATATTATGAGACAGTTCTACGAATGACATCAATATAGCACTAGATCTCTGATATAAAATTACTGGGATAATCTTAGAATCGCATGATTGAAGAAATAAGCATAATTATTTTGCTTTTCTTCTCTCTCTTTCCCCTCCACTTCACCACTGGGTACACACACACACACACACACACACACACACACTTTTATTCACTATATTTGTATATTACTTGTACAACTTCAGAAGTTGTTGAAGATGACTGTGTAAGTTAGGTAAATTGTTTAAAATTTTTCTAAAGTTATATCTTTTGTAATAATGTTTTATATTTATGTCATCAATGGGATCAATTTGAATAGGTTCCATTTTCCACAGATTAATAACTAGGTCCTCAGTAGTATCCCATTTAGCAGTTAAAAAGCAAGAAAATGACTGTTATTAGTGACAATAATAACTATAGAAGGAATAAACCATTTGTTCTTTGTTTTTTTTTTAAATTGTTTTTTTAACTCTCTAGTACTTTAGCATTTAAATGCCATTTTCTTCCATTCCTACTCATTTTTAATTCTCTGTTAAAATGTTTATATATATATTGATTTTGAAATGCTTATATCATCTTTCATATATCAGAACTGAGAGCATTAATGGAATTTAATATCACTTACTGAAATGATAAGATAAAGCCAGATAGTTTGAATTGTTAAGTTTTTATATTATCAAAAGAAATCTTGCTTACATCAACTTTATATTTTATTTCCTCATCTTGAATTATTTTAAAATATAATAATAAAAATAAGATATGAGGAGTCTTATATATTTGGTCAAAGGGTTTCAACTCAACCTTAAACACAAAGTAATTGCTGTAGACAAATTTTCAAGAGGGCAAGTATAATCTTCCAGGCATTATTTCCTCAGATATAATTTGCAAAATTACAGCATCATTAGTCATTTTCAATTACAGTCAATCACAACTAGGGATGTTTAATTTTCCCAGCTGTTTTGTAGTTAATTAACTAGATTAAGCTAGGGGTTTTTTTGTCCAAACAAGTTTGTTCTACTGCCAATATCAATATCTTAACATTTCAAGAATTTCCTAAGTTTTTTGCTTTGTTTTTTTTGTTTTGCTGACTGATCTTTAACATATTACTCACAACTGATGTATGTCTCATCATGCATCAAGATTTATATATGCTATAGCAGGTCAAGTAATGTCTTATTTATCCAAATGTTACTCAGTTAAATATTACTACAATTATAACAACATCTGAATTTCATTAGTGTGTTGTTGGTCAAAATGTTGTCCAATTAAATATTATTAAAATTACAACAATATTTGGATTTTATAAATTACCTATCATGGATATAGTCTCATTTAAACTGGTACAATATTTTGTAACATCAGAAATCAATAGAGATGACAGACTGTCTTCAAATGATCAAATCCATTTTAACTGACTCAGTAAGCATAATAACAACAGAAAGAG